CTCACCTCAGCCTCCCAAAGGTGTGGGATTACAGGCTGAGCCACCGAGCCCGGCAGGATGTATATATTCTACAGAGACAAATGCAAAAGCAAAGTTATTCACGGACAAGTCTGTAGTTGCAAAACTCTACAACACCCCCATGTGTGTTGAAGGGGATCTGTTAAAGAAATCATGCAACATGACACTTTAAAAAGAGCAAGGCAACCACATGTGCTGATGAGGAAAGCTGCTCACGCCATCTTAGGAATGAAGCAAGCTGTGGAATATTTACACCAATATCTACCTGTGAAAAAACCAGACATATGTAAAGGTAGATATTTTTTGCATGTGCATGGACATACCAGTAAGGACAAAAAGAGGCTTTATCTTTGAGGGTCTGTCTGTGGGGAAATGGAGAGTTTGTTGAGAGATTTTTGGTCTCCATTTTGTATCTTTCTATGTTATTTGAATATATACTGCTTATGTAAACTTGGCACAGAAACATACCGTGCCATTGTTACAAAAAGACAATTCAGTGGACTAAAATAAGTTTCAGGCTGGGCGTGGTGGCTCACACCTGCAACCCCCGCACATTGGGAGGTTGAGGTGGGAGGATTACTTGAGACCAGGAGCTCAAGATCAGTCTAGTCAACATAGCAAGACCTTGTCTCTAAAAATAAATTAAAAAATTAGCCCACCATGGTGGTGCACACCTGTAGTACCAGTTACTCAGAGGCTGAGGTGAAAAGATTGCCTGCGCCTAGGACATCAAGACTGCTATGAGCCATGATCATGCTACTGCACTCCAGCCTGAATGGCAGAGTGAGACCCCAACTCAAAACAAAACAAACTCTGTAAATTTCCAAAACAGAGTATTCAGTGCAAAAAGTTAATTCTAAAATATGTGGTACAAATTGATCCCACTTAAGTTTTTAATATTATGTGTGTGAGAATATTCATTTTTCAGAAAAATCGTGGATGGACACTCTGAACATGTTGAGCAACATCGCCTCTTAGGAAAGGAACAGAAAAAACACTGCCCTGTGTCCTGGGTTTTCATTTATTAAAAGCAAAATACAACATCGAACATCGAATTGCCTCTTACATCCCTAGAGAAGGATGTTGCTATAAGAACCAAAAGCGACCAGACACCGATTCAGGTATTTCCACACTGTGGCTTTCAGGGTGACACTATAAAAAGTGGCCTGAGATTTTTCAGAGTCTGAACATCTTCAATGGAATCACAAACTCGTCATTATGGGCCAAACATACAAAGGCCAGCTTTGACCAAGTTGCTCTGCAAGTTTGTGGCAGAACAGAACCAGAAACTAGGTATTTTTAACTTCTCTGTTTGCTTCTAATCGTACCATGAACCATCTATAAGAAAAGCCAACATTTATTGTTTATTGACAATTCAGCAATACTTGCTGAGAGTCCATCAGGTACTGGTGACACGCACTTGATAGATGACACAGAGTAAAAACAGTATGACATGGCACTGTCCTGGGGAAATTGCAGGCCAGCTGGAGAGGCCCTGGGCGCAAGGGGGGAGCCGGGCAGAAGTCCCACTGTCCATGGCAGATCCAGGGCCTGTCCTCAGGTGCCTCCTCAACGGTTCAGACATCCTGCATAAAGGCCAGGGGACAGGAGATCCCACTGTCTCCCTCTCTAACATCATGGTTTGGAAGATAATACCTATTGTGGAAGGTCAGTCATGTGTGAGCTACAAGACCAGAGGGTGGTCACGGGGCAGTGAGCACAGCAGACAGTGAACACCATCACCACTTGCATGGAGCCACATCTATGGTTGGCCACGCAGCTCATGGAACACTGACTTCAGCGACCATACACAACAGAGAATATAGATGCTACAAAAATTGTCCAGAGAAGTCACTAAGCAAGCAGGAAATCACACACGAAAACACAGGATTACACACAAAAAAGCTAATAATTACAGTGAGGTGGCTAGGCACAGTAGCTCCTCCTGAAATCCTAGCACCTTGGGAGGCCAAGGTTGGTGAATCTCTAGAGGCCAGGGGTTCCAGACCAGCCTGAACAACATAGTGAGACCTCGTCCTCAAAAAAAACCAAAAAAACTTAGCCAGCATGTTGTCATGCACCTGTAGTCCCACTACTCGGGAGGTTGAAGTGGGAGGATTGCCTAAGCCCAGGAATTCAAGGCTATAATGAGCCATGATTGTGCCACTGCACTGCAGACTGGGTGACAGGGTAAGACCCTGACTCAAAAAATAAAACAAAATGAACAGGCAAAAATTACAACGAGAGTAAAAAAGGAGAGGAAATACAGAGCACGGGATCAAGAGGCTGACAGAGAGGCCTCTATTGATATAATCCGATTTATCTACTGAAAAAATGCAACTGTGTGCCACAATACCATGAATGGTATTTTTGTTGTTTTAATGTTGGTGGCCACACGACACAGTGTGTCCAAAGAACACATTTTCATACATACCAATTCCTTTAATCAGGTGGCAGTTGGGAAGGTCTACGGAGTCCACTTCTCTGGAGGCTTTAAGTCGATTTCTGTTAAAAAAAAAAAACAACAACAAAAAACTATTTGTTTATGGATGTCCTGCTTTGTTTCAGAAAAGGTTTAAAGAGAATTGCAAAAAAAAAAAAAAAACCAAACAGCACAGATCTAGGCCAGATGAAGGAGAAGACAGAAGAACAAGGGCAGGAACACAGAGAAGCCAGGAAGCTCAAACAAAAACATGCATCACAGAGTTCTGCATGCTGACCCGGGCTATGAAAACAAAAGCCAGCAAACAGCAGATACAACTTGGAATGCAAGTTGTGCAAATGCAAACAACAGCGTGCCATTTCGCAGAGCTCTGGAATCACTGAAGAAGCTCGAGGTGACCCTGTCTCCCTTCTGAAGAGCCAGTGAGGAACGACCATCAAGCTCCCACAGCAACTGAGAGGCCATGCCTGGAGCCTGGCTCACAGAAGACGGACCACAAATAGTCACCGAGACACCAGAGGAGAAGGTCCCTCCCCGACAACATTTACCAGAGGGGAGGACGGACAGCACCAGCCACTTTAGCAAAATCACTTGCTGCTGTTACATCACAACACTAAAAGGAAGAAGTAAGGAGAGGATGCTGACCTTGGACAGGCCATCCTCCCCTCCTGTCTACCGAGAGAACCCCTTTCTCTCCCTGCACCCTCTCACCTTCTCTCTGCTTTCTAGAGCAGGGGTCTGCAGGCCCTGGGCCATGAACTGCTCCTGTTAGGAACTGGGTCCCATAGCAGGAGAGGAGAGGTGGGCAAGCCAAGTTTCATCTGTATTCACAGCCACTCCCCATCACTCGCATGACCGCCTGAACTCTACCTCCTATCAGATCAGCACTAAGAAGCCTGCTTCCATGACCAATATCCTGTCTTTGTGAAACAGGGTTTTCTGCAGTGACAACCACCAAAACAAGATTATGGAGTAGACTGAACACAAGCAACACACTTTGGGTGTCACTGCCTCCCATCACCCCCAGGTGGAATTGTCTAGTTGTAGAAAAACAAGCCCAGGGCTCCCACTGATTCTACATGATGGTGAGTTGTGTAATTATTTCATTATATATTACAATGTAATAATAATAGCAATAAAAGTTAGGGTTCAATAAATGTAGTGTGTGTGAAATATCCCAAAACCATTCCTCCCCACCCTGGTCTGTGGAAAAATTGTCTTCCACAAAATTGGTCCCTGATGCCAAAAGGGTTGGGGACTGTTGCTCCAGAGCCAGAAGCAACAGCAGTGGCATATGGAGGGAGCTTTACACTCTTCAGAGTGGTTCCCACATGCCACACATTTAAGCAACAAAAGGGCAATTTGCTGCATGTCCCTCTCTATTCGCATTCCTGACAGTGTGACACTGGGAGGCTTCTAGAATACACGGCAGGCTACTGGCTTCTCAGCAGCACAGAAGGACGCCCAGGCCTACCGACCCAGGACTACCAGGAGGTTTTGCCAACTGTACAGTTTGGTAATTCAAGTCATATGTAAAGTCTCCACCTAAAGTGTGCATCTGTATATACCTGAGATCATACAACTCAGATAGTATTACATTTTTTTAACAAAATAGCAATAAATATAAATAAATCAATAGCAAATATTTAAATGTATAAATGTAAGAAAATAAAATGCATTAATAATAAAAATGTAAAACAATGCGATAAAAATATAACAAAGCTCACTCCTAGTATCCCAGGAGTAATTAAAAAAAGAAAACATGTATGTGGCCTAATCTAGTAGCAGCTGTGACAGTGACCATGAGGGTGACACTGAAGATATTCACAGGTGGCAAAAGAAACAGACAATAAAAGGAGCTGCAACTTCCCATTGTTCTAAGGGATTTGCCTGCATGGGTTCATTCAATTCTTCAAGCAACCCTACATATCAGGTGCCATTTTTCCCATTCTAAAGATGAGGAAATTGATGCAGAGGGGCAAAACAATGCCTCAAGGTTCAGCTGAGCAGGATACACAGCTTTTCCTCTCCACTCTGCACTCTTCTCAGAAAGGGGTGAAGAGACCTGTGTTCTTGTCTTTGCAGCAAGACTGCCCTGGCTCTCAGCATGTCAGTTAGTCTCCAGGCCTCACTTCTTTTTGGATAAAATGAGGATGAACTCAAAGACCTCCAAGGTGTTACATGACTCCAGAAACAGACGTAGACACAAAGCAATGGGTCACAGCTGCGGCTTCTTCAAGTTCTGGGTAACGCATTGGCCCAGGTGTCAATTTTATACAACCAGCTACGACACCGATTTGACTATACACAAATAGGGATAATGATGATTTCTATCTATTTTTTTCAAAGATAATCTCTATGGATAAAATAAAACCTGTCAAAAGCAGCACACTTTGATGTGTTTGAATCATTTACCATGGGACATTGTTTCAGAGTCACCTTAAGTCTGCACGAAGGACTGGGATGATGTTTGCTAAATGGAGTGATCCTCATCGACTGGCCACCTGTACAACAGCATCTTTCCACAAGCCAACTACCTGCTGGCAAAACCCCAAAGCTGCATGACTCCTACTCATTAGGTAACTCCTTCTTGGCTTTCCTTCCTGAATAAAGGAAAAGAGAATTTTGCTTCAATACTGTGTGTGTCAAGACTTCTGAATTCCTTCACAGACCACTGAGGGGTTTTTTCCCTGGTGGATCCCTTAGCTCCTGCTTGGTCGTGGACTTCTTGATTCTGGGAGGGAGACCTCAGCAGCTGACAAAAGCAAGCCATCCCTACCCAGTCTCCTTCTTTTTCCTCCATGGCACAGGTGGGCTAAGCAAACCCTGGTTTCCTGGCCTGCTTTGCACTGAACTGTAAGCTTATGACCCCGGTTTTAGGGACAGATATTTTTGTTCCTGACAGAAAGGGCAGACAAGAGAGAGCCCTTCTCCATGATGTGAAGCCGTCTGCATCCTTGATGAAGAGGAGGCTGTAAAGTCAATAGTGAAGGATAAGAGTGAAAATCTGGGAAGAGCCCAGCCCCTTGATGTGGTCACTGACTCAGTGACAAGTTCTGGATCAGCCACCTGCAGAGTGTTTGCCATGTGAGAAAAACAAATCCCTATTTAAATAAGTTCCCATCGACTCGATGTACGTTATTTATGGCTGAAGGCTTCTAACTGAAAGCTCCTAACTGACATAAGATTTGAGAAGCTTGGGGAGTGCACAGAAAGCTGGACAAGCCTTTCTGGAGTCGCAGATCAATAACCCTAAAAGCAGACATGTGTAAGACAAACGGTGCCAGCACATGAAGTGATGATATGAGATGAGGAAAATCTAACTTTTGCTAGAGGCAATTTTTTTCCTACCACTTTATGTCCTCGCGTGCTTACAAACATCCTGGGGCCGAGACATGTGGCCCTGGCCATTCTGCTGTCATAGACATTGCTGATCCATCCTGGCCCTCCTGCCCTTAACCCATGGACCCCACCGGCCAGTCTATTAAAGCTGACACTTGGCTAGGGTAGTGGCTCACACCTGCAATCCCAGCACTTTGGGAAGTCAAGCCGCTTACCTCACCGGCAGAGAAGCCGGGAGGCTGGGGAAGTTGGGCAAGCACCAACTGGAGGCAGAGGGCCCAGCTGAAGTCCAGGCTCAGCACTGATGGGCTGCCTGTTGACTGACTACTGAACCTCTCAACCTTGGGAGGTACATGTGTGCACAGGACAGTGTATAGGAAGACTGAACAGAGGGGCACGGAAGCAAAGGGGCTGCCTCCTGCATGTCAGGAGATGTACATCTGGGGTGAACAGAACAAATTTTTGACACTTTTGACATAATAACAAGCACACAGTAGTTAATTACAAGAAGGATGTGACTTGGACAAGGAGGATGGTGGTTTGAAAAAAGGCTGCTCCTTCAGAAGTGATCCAAAACAGGCCGCACTACCTCCTGTAGAAGCTGACATCACAGGCCCGGGATTGCAGAGCGCTCAGAAGCTGACAGGTGCCTGAGCCTCCAGCCCCTAATGGTGCTTCCAAGGCTTCGTCGTTCCAACAGGGAACAACCAGCCTGGGACATGTGTGTTTCTAGTTTCTCCTTCGCTGCTCAACTAGGGAGGGATGGGGAGGCAGGCGTGGGACGCTGTCCTCCTCTGGGAACCCGAACTAGTCACAGCTCAGAAGGAAAAAAGACAGCTTGAAGGACATTTCTCCACCTGTGATGTGCTTATGCGAAAAATCATCCACTATTTATCTGAAATGCAAGTTGAAACTTAAGTGGTAATCCAGGGAGAGAAATAACTTGATTGTCAAAGTCCCATCTCTAAATATTAATCATTCTGGCAGGGTGCAGGGGCTCAGGCCTGTAATCCCAGTACTTTGGGAGGCTGAGGCAGGAAGACTGTTCGAGTCCAGGAGACAGAGACCAGTCTGGACAAGACAGCGAGATCCCAACTCTAAGGAAAATTTTAAAAAATTGTGCATGGTGGCAAGTGCCCATAGTCCCAGCCACTTGGAAGGCTGAGATTGAAGGATCCCTGGTTCCCAGGAGGTTAAGGCAGCAGTGAGTTGTGACTGTGCCACTGCACTCCAGCCTGGATGACAGTGAGACCCCCAACTCACTGAATAAATAAATACATAAATAGGTAAACAAATAAATATTAACAATTAAATAGTAGGCACCAGATTCCAGCAAAAACCTTTCCCCTTCCTCTGAAGAGCCTTTCCTATGGAGAGGCGGGGCCACACTGCTTTCTGAAATATCCACAAAACATCTGAACAGAAAAGTGCTATGCATGTGAGCATTCCATCAAATGCTATAAACAGGTGAAGTTCCAGTCCTAAGCTGAGTGAGGATGTGCACTCAATTGTACACTAACCTACAGGTGCATCTACAGCAACAGCCTTACTTTTTCTGAGGTTTGCAACTATAGCCTGAATATAAAACTTTAAGATCAGTAACCAAAAAATTTGACTGTTAATTGTGGAACACAGGCAGTTGACATTAGTGACACCTTACTCATCATCTTGTGGATTTTGGTGGCCATGCCTGAGAAATCAAGAGCCAGGAGACGGCACTGGG